AGGCAGGTTGGAAGGAGGCGGGTTGGGATCAGATGGGGAATTAGGTGGGTCAGTCAGAGAGGAGACTGAGGCTCAGGAAGGTACCAAGGTGGGTAGGACAGAAGGTCTTCTGCAAGGTCAGGGTCACAGAGAGTATGCAATGAAGGAGGGAACAGCAGGATGGAAGGCTAACAGAGAGTTTTTTCTTCCTCGAGGTGAACTGCATAGAGACTTTTAGCAAGAAGAGGATGGAGGGGTGCAACTGCCTCTACCTCCACTGGTGGGCTGGAAAAGGAGGAGAGACTAGAGAGAGGGGGATGGAGTAAGCAAAGGTGGTGTTCCTGAGATGCAGGCTTCTCAGCTGGAGGGGGGAAAAGGAGGGGTGTGGAAGTAGAAAATTTAAGAGGAGGGTCCAGGCCTCCTTCCTCTATGCGAACTTGGAAGGACATATTGAATGCAGCAATGAGATCTGGCAAAGGGCTCTGGCTGTAAATTCATAGGGAAATGAGAAAGTACAAGTGATAGTGAGAAAAAGTGAGTGACAAAGGTGGATCTCACTTGTTTGGGAGGTTTTGGAGAAGTATATCCCAGGCCTGCCTGGGTCACTCCAAGAACAGCCCGGGGATACTTGGAAGTTGCACCCCCCCTGCTACCCAGGAGAAGCCAGGTCAGCAATGAAAGTAGAAAGGGAGATAGACTCTTGGATATCCTGTCAGGATATTGGGGTCCGATCTTCATCTAAGGAAGAGAGTGGCCCTGGCCAGAAGCTCTGAGTCTTCTGACAGGTTATTCTCAGTCCCACACATCCACGGTCTCTCTCTTGAAAGGAAAATGGAGATGATAGGAAAGAGCAAGTAAAAGCGGGCAGGGATTCAGTGTGTCAGGAACAGATCAGCCCCCGGTTGCACAGGTAGCCAATGAGTGCCTGACACTCAACAGTCACTCGTGTTCCTCACTCCAGTTGCCACAGAGACAGAAAGAGTTTGCAAAGAGTTCAGAAGAAGGGGAGAAGGGAGTCACAACTCTTACCTAGAGGTTGGATCCTCCACTCACCTTCTCACTCGGTGCACCAAATGTAAGATACAGGGTGCAAAACAGAGAGGAGACAGAATACAAACTCACAGTCAGTAGAAGTTATTCAGAGAAAATAAACTTGCAGTGTTCAACCAACTGCCAGTGTGCATGCAGACTGAATGTGTGGCAGGGGGCCAGTTTCTAGATTATTCAACTCCTTTCTTTTCTCTGTTTGACAGCATTTTGAACTTAATTGTGCCCATAATATCTGTTATTCAAATTTCCCTCACTTTCCTGGCTTCCTCAGTATCCATCAATCATTTCTGCAGTTTTCTTCGTGTGATTTCCTGAGGTTCATACCACAGAAAAGTCATATCCTTCAACTTTCATCCAAGGCAGTCTTCTCCCATCACTTTATATGTTAAATCTTCCATGTCAGTAGGCTTTGCAGCATTTTCAAACCTGGAGTACCATTTTTCCCCTAAGCTAGTGTTCTTGTCTTCAAAAGGCTTATTTATTTTCCCAAGCCAGAAATCTGCACAATAAGTCTTATTTTTGTAATCATTTGTTTTAAATGCTAATCAAGAATGAATATCTCTTGAATAATACAACTATCTAAATACTCACAGCTATTTTTTGTTATTTCTTTCCTATATTTATAATAGAACACATACCTTTGCTTTCTGCCAGTCAACTTGAAAACACAAACTTCAATCACTGATAAGTCCTTATCCTATTATTCAAATACTTTAGAATCAGTTACAAGGCTTCTCTTTTCCCTAAAACTAAACCCGACTGTTCTTTACTTTTTTCAGCTTTTATATCTTCTATTATTTTG